GAGAGGACCCCAAATCTTCCTTTTCCCACTCTAGTATTTTAGCTGCTAACACCATGCTATCTGGAGGATTCTTACCTATTTAACACAGAATAGTAGATGCCTGAAGTAGATATTGACCTTTTACCAGATGTTTCATTTTTACCCAGTAAAATTGGACAAAATATCTTAGGAGAAAGCCATAAGTGTTAAATCAATTTATTACACTGGAATGTATATATCTCTTAATTAACTTTTTACTAAAATGTGCTTCCTTATCAGGTTACATCCCAGACACTAGTCTGTAATCCAAGTAGTGACCATTTGTCCATATGCCTTTGTTTAAAACCAAAGGTTCTAGCAGGCAGACTCAAACAGCAAACAACACAGATGGAGGAGTTCGACCAAAAGCATCACTCATCACATCTGCAAAATCGCTACTGTCACAAACCACAGATTATATATTATGTTATAAATAGCCAGTTTCCATTCTTTCTATTAAGTGGGCCTTCTATATTTATATCACACCATGAATTAATCACTTTCCATGTCAACAGCACAAACAGTGAAGTAGCAAAAATAAGTATGGCCCCTCAAATCAATCTATTTGATGTTACGCTTCATTCTGTTTTAAAATTAGGGCCTCCGTTTGTATATCATGTATCCATTGATAGTCATGTCGACTTTTCAGACTTAAGTCAGTTTAAATATATAATAGATTCTCATCCTGGAAGTGCCAATGTTGGGGGCAGGTGGATTTGTTATTACTGTTTTTCTAGATGAGTTTAGCTTTTGGACACAAGTACATTTTTAATCTGGTGTTCTCTACTCATGGAAGGTCTCCTGCTTGAGAGGGGGGTTGGACTAGATGACCTATAATGTTCCTTTCAACTCTGTTAATCTGTTAAACCCATAACTTTTATGAGTTTAACCTTGTGAAATTGATACCTATTTAAATATACATCATTTCACTCACTGCCCAGGAGAGCATTCATATTACCTTAGTTCAGGGTTTCCTGAATTTTTTTTTTATTATTGCCACCCTAAAGAGCCTTTTCCTAATTACCTCAATGAAATTTGAATATCATAGACATGCTATATAGCTGTTTATGTATTTTACAGTATCTATATCTATCAGTGGTGAAATCCATTTTTTTATTACCGGTTCTATGGGCGTGGCTTGGTGGGCATGGTGTGGCTTGGTGGGCATGGCTTGGTGGGCATGGCAGGGAAAAAGTACTGCAAAATCTCCATTCCCACCCCACTTCAGGGGAAGGATACTGCAAAATCCCCATTCCCACTCCACTCCTGGGGGAAGGATACTGCAAAATCCCCATTCCCACCCCACTCTGGGGCCAGCCAGAGGTGGCATTTGCCGGTTCTCTGAACTGCTCAAAATTTCCGCTACCAGTTCTCCGGAACCTGTCAGAACCTGCTGGATTTCACCCCTGATATCTATGCTTTATATGATGACAGCTATCAAGTCTGTGCCAAATCTTACATTCATACATTTTCTCCATGTTGATACGTCTCTAATTTTGTCCTTAAGATCTTCCAAGAGTCCATTATTGCCAGGATAACTGAATCCACCAAGTTGCTGCTAGACATCTTCTTTTTCTCTTTCCTTCTTCCTTTCTCATTATTAGTACCTTTTCCGGAGAGTTATAATGACATAATGTGTCCAAAGTAGGATAATTTAAGGCTGGTTATTTGTGCCTTGAGTGAGAAACTGTGGGTTGATTGTTTTTGATGATCCATTTGTTTGTTTTCCTGGATGTCTACATGTATTCTCAGGAGTCTTCTCCAACTTCAAAGTTCAAAGGCACCAATACTCTTCCTATCTTGCTTCTTCAAAGTCCAGCTTTCACTTCCATAGAATGTCAGAGGGACTATTATGGTTTATACTATTCTGATCTTTATAGCTAAAGACACATTACAGCATCTAAAATATTTTTTCCAAGAACTTCATGTCAGTTTACCAAGTGCTAATCTCCAACATGTTTCTTACTTGTTACTTTACTGTTGAATTTTATACATACTTACTTTTTTATGCAATGCAGGAAAAGAAAAACTAAATAGGATGTTTAAGTTAAAAGTTAAACATTAACTTTATTACTGTGTTTGCTGGATAACTTTAAATGTTTTTTATTTAGTTATATAAATTGTAATGTATCAAATTATATATACAAATTAGGATTTTATGTAAGTACATAATAGTTATAACAATGTACCGGTAATCAATTTTTTAAAAAAATCATTCAACAAAAGTAAAACAATTGAAAAAGTAAATGGATTTTTAAGGAATATTTTTTGTCAACTTTTAACATTTGCTTGATATGAGAAAGAAACATTTAAATTAAGCAGTTTGCAAAGGAAAATTACATACCTAAGGACGATTCAATGGGATTCCTCAGCTTGATGGGTTTTAACTAAAAGTTCAGTGTTTGGTATGATGTTAGTAAATTTAATTCTAACGTCTCCTCTTGAACATACATCAATTCTGTATCTTTCCTTTGTTAATATATTATTTATTCAACTACTTTCAACTGTACAAGATGTTGGAAAAGAGCAGCACTTTTGCCATTTCAAACCACCATAAACAACAATTACAAGGAAGCCCATATAAGCCAATAGACGTGGACAGACTATTCGCAATATAACTTCGAGATTAAGCAATCAAGTGAAAGTTCTCCGATCACACATCTTATCATCTTCCCTGAGTCTTCATGCCTCCCGGTTTCGGGTCGACGTTCAGGACTCAGGACCCCGGACAGCACCCTGGAGTCCAGGGGGCTGGTTGAATTTTAAAGGAGATTCGGGTTAATGTCAGGGTTCCAAGTAGCACCCCTAACGAAAGAAGACTCTGAGGCTTGACTTTCCTCAAAGTTCCATTTTATTAGAGATGTCATATTGGCACATCTGAGAAAACCCAAATCTGAAAGCTTCCAGATTTTCCCCATCCAAAAGCACCCACATGTATATCACATGGTCCAATCAAAGCACCGTCCCAACTGGAGATGCCTCCCAGTCACAGCCTTCCAGGTACAGGGCAAGATGTCCTTGACTCTCTGAGAAAGGAATGTTATTATGACTACATATCACCCATGCTCCATACAATCCCTTCTCCCAGTTTCCCACAACAGTAAATGTGGGCAGGTCTGAAGTCCCAATGCAAAAGATGGCTTCCAGGCCTGACATATCTATTAGCTGTAGTTTTGCAGTGCTGATCTTGCATATGTTACCTTTCATGAACTCAATGTCAATGCTGCTCATGTGATACCCAAGAAAACCCAACAAAAGGAATTAAATACTAAGAAATAAGGTTTTATTGGGAAGGATTGAGCTTTGGAGGGCCACAAACCATTATAATATTGAAGATGTTTTTGCTAACTATATTTTAACTACCTGTATATTTTTGCTGTAGTATGTTGTGGTTTAGGTAGGATTCTCTGCCTAATTTCTAGTTTTCTTTGTACCCATGGAGTCATCTCATCACATTGTATAAATACAAGTAGTGGAATATATTTTAGTTACTGGTTTTTTTTTAAAGTAATTATAGCCTATTTCTCTCTGAAAGGATTCTAGGTGGCATACATCAGCAAAAAGTAAACCTAAATAAATAAACCAATAAATCAGAACATCAAAATAAAAATTAAAAATCATTAAACTGCAAGGTGGCCCCCTAGAGTCAATTGGTGGGGTCTGAAAGCACATCTGGCAATAAGACTATTTTAACCTATTTCTGAAACTGCAGCAAGTTGCACATTCTTCTGGGACAGAAAAGTCCATAAAGTGAGGACTGTTGGAGCAAAGGTTTGTCTTCTCAGCCTTACAATGCAGACTTTGCTAGGGAAGGGAAATTTCCATAGCCCCTCTCTGGATAACCAGACTGGAATTTGATCAATACAGGCAATTCTCATTTAATATCCACTCATTTAACAACTGTTCATAGTTGCAATAGCACAATGAGAGACACTTACGACTGGTCCTCATAGTTGTGGCTCTCACAGTGTCCCTATGGCCATATGATTGCAATTCAGGTATTCAGCAATTGACTTGCAATTATCATGTTGCAGCATCCTGGAGTCATGTGATCAGCACTGCCAGTTTCTTACAAACAAAGGGGAAGCCTGCGGGAGGTCACAAATATGATTACATGACAGTGGGATGCATGTCTCTGTGAGATTCAACTAATGATGGCAAATGGAACTGCTAGGTCTGTTGTCATAATCACCATGACACATTGCTTTATCACCACACGCCTTAGCATCAGAAATCTTGTCTGAAACCATAGGTAAACAAGGAGTACCTATAAAATAATTGACAAATGTGCACAATGTTTTCTCCTGGTTTCAGAGACCACTTGTCTCTGTAAGTTCTATTTTCTGGGCAGGAAATATGCTTTCAAGTCCTGCTTGTGAGCTTCTCAGAAATATCCAGTTGACCACAGAACAAAACAAGAAGCAAGTTTGTCACCCCAGCTCTCATTGACAGTGTGCAACAAGTCCTTTGAAGAAAGGTTGGGATGAAATGACATTGCTGGTATATCAAAGAGCATCAGAGGAAAATACAGAGGGAGCAGCAGAAGTTTAATCTCTTCAGCTGCCTGACCAATGGTATTGACAATGTGTCATCTCAAATAGCATTGGACAGCAGAGAGAGGCATGCTTGAAGTGCCCACATACTGAGGACACTGGCCTATTTAAGCTTAGCCTCTCTACTTTAGCTGTCTCAGACTGTCACATTGTAACATTCTGCTTCATGTCAGATGTTAAAAGTCAGCCATTTTGCTAAGCTGCCATAGAGTTTAATGGGATATGAAAAGCTTACAGTATGTGTCAACAATCCAGCAGATGGCAATTAACACGTCCTGCTTGCTTCATTGTTCAAAGGTTGCAGGGGTAAATCTTTTCACAATAGCAGAGTGGACAACTGAAGGTTGTGGTTGTGGGTATTCAAAACTTCATTTAACAGGCAATTGGCAGGATCCTGTCAGAGGCTAAATATGTTTTCTTTACTTACAGGTCAAAGGAAATTTTGAGCTAACCAAAGCTAAATGGCTTGAGTATAAAGATGAATGTTTGAAGAGACTACAAGAATCTAGAATTAGCACGGGTAAGGCAGAAATCCATCTTCCACCTTCTACCAGCAGCAGCATGAAGATAAGAGCTCTTACATGTATGCACCATGTTCCAGTGGGGTCCACACATTGAGGCAGTACACTTCAAAAGTCCATCAGCTGGGCCAGGGCTCCACAGCAAAAGTAGAAAAGACAGATTTGTTGTTGTTTTCCTCTTCACCTGCATAATGAGCGATGCCCTCTTGCTGGAAACATCGACTTTGACATCTTCTGGTGTCTCAGATGTCTTTCCCATCTTGTAGGAAAGCAATTGTAAAACACTGCGGCCATTGCCCCATTGCTTCCTAGCTACTTTCAGAGATACTGTAGGTTTGCTATTTTGGGTGAGCATACATTTTTCTTTGCTTTTTCTCCTCACTGTCCAAAGTACATGTGGTGAAAAAAGAACAAGAGGGGGTGTGACTTTTATATTGGCTAGACTGAAAAATATGACTTCAGTAACAGAGTGGTCAATGCCTGGAATGCACTACCTGACTCTGTAGTTTCTTCCCCAACCCCCCCAAACTTTAACCTTAAACTGTCTACTGTTGACCTCACCCCATTCCTAAGAGGTCTGTAAGGGCCGTGCATAAGTGCACCAGCATGCCCCTGTCCCCGCCCTAATATTCCTTTTTTCTTACTCTTTTCATGTATTCAAATTATGTTTATACTTTTACCTGCTTGACAAATAAATGTATGATTATGATTATGATTATGATTATGATAACAATTCCAGGCTGATTCCTCTCTTAACTCTGTCCTCAGGTTCTGTCTCTTCTTCTGCTATAACTTTGTTATTCATCTGTTTTACTTCTCCAGACCATTTTTTACAGAGTTTTAAATCCTTCTGACTTCTTATTTCATAATTTTCTTCATCTTTATAAATATTTCATCCCATCTCATTTTGAAAGCTTAGTATCAATTAACTTAGTTTCAATTAATCTTGAGTTTTGTTTATAAAAGAAAATACATAATTATTTTAGATGGAGATTAAATGAAATGTTATTATAAAAAGGAGCAATAGTGAAGAACTGTAAAAAGAAAGTAAAATATTTTTTGAAACTAATTTTAAATGAAGGCACTGTTTTAAGAATGGCTTGGATGCAAGTAAAGCTTTTATTAGAGGCTATTTTATACAACATAATGCTGAATTTAAGAAGAACTGATAGATAATCAGTAGTACAGTGGACTAAAGCACTGTTATTAACATCTGCTGCTTGCAATTACTGCAAGTTCAAATCTCACCAGGCTCAAGGTTGACTCAGTCTTCCATCCTTTCAAAGGTAGGTAAAATGAGGACTCAGATTGTGGGGGCAATAAACTGACTTTGTATAAATATACAAAAGTATGAAGGCTATTGCTTAACGCATTGTAAGCCACCCTGAGTCTCTGGAGAAGGGCGGCATATAAATTAAAGCAAAAAAAAAAAAAAAAAGATAATAGTCCTAATAAAATGGGAAAATAAGTCAGCCTACTTACTTAAAAATTCCAGCTATCTGGAAAAAGTCTAATGCTGAGAAAGATAGAAGGAAAGAGAGGAAGAGGATGACGGGGCAGCAAGGTGGATGGATTTAATTACAGTGACTATGAGTGCAACTTTGAAAGACCTGAAAGACCAAAGATAGGGCTAGATTGTCATGGAGAACATTTATTTGTTTATCTATGACTGTAACTTTGTTGCTTGTATGTATCCTTACGATTTATATTGATAATTTCCTGATTGCTTATTTGTACCCTTGAGTATCATTAAGTGTTGCACCTTATGATTCTTGATGAATGTATCTTTTCTTTTGTGTACACCGAGAGCGTGTGCACCAAGACAAATTCCTTCTGTGTCCAATCACACTTGGCCAATAAAGAATTCTATTCTATTCTATTCTATTCTATTCTATTCTATTCTATTCTATTCTATTCTATTCTATTCTATTCTATTCTATTCAGTTGCTAGGAATAAAAAATGAGCTATTGCTGCTTTCATGTTTTCATCAGAAATTACTGATTTCTCTCTTAGTTTCCTTTTACTCATCTTTATATCCTATTGACATATAACATGAAGTTCTGACCTGGCCAAGATGATAATTAGCTGAAATATTATTTGTCTGCCTTACCTAAATGTTGGTTGTTACTCATTTTTAAACTTTCTGATTAACCTTTTGGCCTCCTGAGAACAATTTGAATTACTTTCTGTGGTTTACCATATTGTACTTGCTTTTAGTATGTGGCTAAAGAAATTCTGAAAATGAAAACAGCAAAAAGTGCATATATATAGAGAGAGGGGGAGGGGGAAGGGAGGGAGAGAGGGAGGCAGGGAGGGAGGGATGGGTTTTTTTACATGTAACATTCAAGATGTATATAAATTTTTTAAAAAGGATAAAGAAAAGACAAAGAGAGGAAAAGTAAAGCCCCTCCCCCTGGAAATTTACTTTATATTTACACTCCCATGCCTTTTAAATTTATTTGTCATGGTTTCGATCTGACAGTTTATATTTATTTTGATTGGTCTTGATATTGTTAGTTTAATCAGATGAGTGTCCTAAACGAAATTACCATTTCTATCTACCTGGAATCTCAGCCAACCATGTTGGTTTGCAATATGGTGCAATGTTAGTGTTAAAAACACTTTATCACTAAGTTTGTGATAAAGAAATAAAAAGTGAGATGGCTTCATTTAAAAATTGGCTTGGTCTCAACAATATCTGTTTGGTTTATGAAAGAAAAATAAGTTGGAAACTGGTGCTCTTAATATACTACTTATGGTCAGCATGTAAACCTATTTTCAGAAACTGTTGTAGCTTGGTTACAAAAAGTAAATTTATGTTCACACTAAGTAACAAATATGCAAAGTTATATATTACTAACATAATTACTGTAGAGCTTAGTTTAGAGATATTGCATTCCTTGTTGATCTATTTCTTGTAACATTTAGTTAACTTTCAAATATATTCTCTTTCCTTCTTCACAGGAATATATTGTAATGGAAGTTTTGATCAGTTTGCTTGCTGGCCTCATTCGCCACCAGGAAATGTCTCCGTTGCTTGTCCATCTTATTTACCGTGGCTTAAAAATGGTAATGCAAACTTGGAAACTGCTAAATTGTAATACACTATATAATTTTCCTTCCCTTTTGGAGTTTTATGTTGGGTACACCATGACCTAAAATGAAATTCTTCTGTGCTAATAGTATCTGGTAGCTTTTGGAAAAATAACTAAATTACAATCTGATTCTGCTTTCATCAGTACAGAGTATAGCAATTATAAAAGTAGTGGTATTAAAATCTGGAACTTGATTACCTTCCTACATTTGCAACAGTCCCTAAAACTAAACATCTAAGCCTCAGAGGGGGCACCTCTGACTTTCCAGAAGTCCTGAACTACAGTTCCCATCATCTTTTACCACTTGCTAGCAAAATTGGGTGCAGTTCAACAGTCTTTGGAAGTACTGTACCCATAACTGTTGCAACAGGAGTGATTGTGTCATTTCTAAGATGGTGTAAAGATATGGTATGGCATTCTACTACGTCTATGCCAGTGCAAAGTTCTTTCTATGCAGAACCAGTAGTTCTGTGTGCTTAACATGGCAAATCTGGAGTGATTTTCTTAGGATATTAGCTAATGCTTAATATAATGAAATTAGAAGACATCCCAACCCCCCAGAAGCAGAATACAAGATTGATATATTCACATTTTTATTTCTAGCCAAAGGGAACATAAGTAGCAGAGCTAGAAAGAATTCTGTTGGCTAAATGAAAGATCAGTTGACTGTGTTTATATAAGCATGATCATCACAAAATGATTGTGACAGTAACTGATGGAAAGAAACAACATGAAACAATCTAAAAATCATGGAAAACGGGCAGGGGGGGGGAAGTTTTCATATGTCTTCAAATATAATTGTTTTTTTATATCAAAAGACAGTAGAGATGGAGAGACACTTTTGACCAGAGATTCATTTCCATAGAAAAAGACCCCGATTATGTTGAATTAATTAATGCTTTGTAACTTCAAGTGCAATTCATTTGAAGCATGACAAAGATATTAAAAGCTATTTAAAGAAATACAGTCTTATCCCATGGGTTTAGGCTTTTAAAAATATTTAAAAATAGGGAATTGTGCAGATTTGGCAGTGTTAATCCACTGAGAAATATTAAGCTTTCTACAGTTACCTCCCAAATAAACAGACATTACAAAGAGCTACCCTACAGTAAGCCAAGTCTCCTTTTTTTGATCTTTCCACGCATGGGATGAAAGGGTGATAGCAATAAACCGGGGCTGAAAAATGAAATGCATGGCTTGACCTTTGAGCTTGTGTCTGTTTACTTTTAGGAAGTGCAAGGAACGTATACAGAGTCTGCTTGGACCAAGGGATTTGGCAAAATATCGAAAATACAACAGAGATTTGGAATAATCGCTCAGAATGCCTTGAGGAGAATCATTTCAAAGTAAAAGTGAGCAGGGTCTTTTATGGGAGACACATTCACTATTTAATCTTCTCTGGGAATCCTCTTTTGGCCTACTGGGTATCTACTTTTGGCCTACTGAATATAGACTAGGTGAAACTTGGCTTAATGCCAGTAACTGTGAGAGTCCTAATGGACAGTCACTTAAATATGAGCCAACAGTGTATGGCAGCAGCCAAAAAAGCCAATGCAATCCTAGTCTGCATTAATAAAGAGATAAAATCAAGATCAAGTGAAGTTCTAGTATTGCTTTACAAGGTCTTAGTAAGACCACACTTGGAATATTGCATCCAATTTTGGTTGCCACAATACAAAAAAGAATCCCTCTCTCCTTTGGGATTCCAGACTACAGAGTTTATTCAGAAGAAGCACATCAAACTAATCTGAGAGACAAGCCATAAATACACTTAGCAAGATTCCACATTTGATTTAGTTTCCTTATTGACTATACATCCTCCTTTGAGAATTTGCATACTGGGTTTCTGTACCCCAAAGAACCCTAACTTGTAATGATTTTTTTGCAAGTTGAGTTCAGAAGTATAGTTTTAACAATGTTACGGCTCCCAGGTACAAAATATAGAAGCACTCAGGAACATGCACAGTGATTAGATAGTGCATATGATCTATTTTCCACAATGGTCCTATATAAAGAAGAAGGGAAGTCAATATAGAATGGAGGTTTGGCTAGTAAAACAAAATAAACAAATCTCTCTTACACAGATACAGAAAGAAAGAGAGAAAGAGAGAAAGAAAGAAAGAAAGAAAGAAAGAAAGAAAGAAAGAAAGACAGAAAGACAGAAAAACACACTCACACAGAGAATATAGTGCCTTTTTATGATGGAAAATTTTTCTTTTGGTAGCAACACCATAATTCTTACTGACACCATTACAGGTTTTTTGCACAGCACGTTTTAATGCCTTCTCCACTGCAGTTATGAATGGCAGATATAATAGAATCCCTCTAGTACTTAAACAATGTCCTTGTTCCTCTGGTGAACCTGAAACTCTAGAACATATTTTCATAAAGCATAAATTATATGTGCAACTGCATTTTCAATTAATGTGTCCTTGAATGGAAAGAATGCCTAGCCATGCTGAAGTTTTCTTAAATGACAGACATTCTAAAATCACATTTTTAATTGCTAAGTTTTGTGCACTAGTCATAAAACTGCATCATATCCAGTTTTGTTAATAGAAGCACACCCTGTGTTAAAGTATTAAAATGTTGTTATATTTTATTATATTTTTGGGATTGTATTTGGGTTGTTTTAACTTATGTTTATAATAGTTTTGACTGCTATTAGTTCCTGTTTTTGAGTTTCCTTTGTCCTGGCACTTTGGAGCACATAAGGAGCTGTCATTGGAGAAGCAATAATCAAATATAGCATTCTGTTTCAATTACTGACTGCTAAGTGTTTCTCTAAATATGGCATGAAGTGGGCAGTAACCTCATTGTTTGTAGCATTAGGCAATCAGATTTGTATCTTAATATGCTTCCTCTGATTGCCTGTTTCTCCTGTTAGAAGAAAAGCCCAAGAATTAAAAAAGATAGAGGGATAGAGAATGAAATGGAAATGGACTCAAAGTGATTTACAATAAGGGTAATAAACCAGAGGTATCGCAGCTGAAATTTCAGAGTGATCTTTAAGGAAAGGGCCGTAGAGAGTGAATTACAGTCATCTGAATTACCATATTCCCTCTATGAGGGATTTGGGTAGTTAAGAATTTTGATAAATGGATAGATGGATAGATGGATGGATGGATGGATGGATGGATGATGACTGTAGTATGAGTGATGGTTCTCACTCATGTAGTTTGACCAGGGATGCCTAAAATTTTGCAGTCAGCTGTATGTGTCAACACAGTAGTAGCTGTATTGGGAACTAGGCACATATATCTGATATTTATGAATTTATCTCCCTCAGGAAAACTTGATTACATTAACTATGTTGTTTCTTTGTTGTTTTCAGCCAGAAGACCTTACATTGTTTATGGTGCTTGAAAAACTTTCTACTGTGGGATATTCTATTTCTCTTGTTTCCCTTGTCTTAGCACTCTTCATTCTGCTGTTATTTAGGTCAGTATAACCATTTTCTTTTTTAGTAGAATATGGTCTGTTTAAACTATTCATTAGAATATTTTATTTATTTGATTTATGCATCACCACATATGTTAGAACAGAGAAGGAGATGATGTCAGATCTTCCCAAAGGATTTCCCTTGATCACAGACTATGAAATATACAAAGAGGTAAAAAATGTCTTTCTACAATGGCCAAATTAGATATTAACAAAGGAAAAATAGATGAGGGAACCTTTCAGGGAGAATTTGGAGAGGGTCAGAGGAATGAATTACAAAATTATAGATTTTACTCAAATAATGAAAAAAATGTTTTTCATATCTCATGCCTTAGTAAAATAATTGTTTTTGATGACTGTCAATGACATCTCAAACATTGAAAATATTTGAAATATATCTTATCCTAGCATATTTACCCTATCACCCAAATTTTTTGGCCAAAAGTATTTGCATCAGAATTAAATCATCCTTCCTCAAATAAGTCTGTGACAGTCATGACTAGTTTGGAAATGTCAACCACAGAGAAACAACACTGAAATTAAAGGAATTGTTGAGGAATCACTGCATTCGGTTATTTATTTATTTAGGAGCCCTTGTGGTGCAGTGGTTAGAATGCAGTATTGCAGGCTAACTCTGCTCACAGCCTGGAGTTTGATCCTGTCAGGGCTCATAGTTGACTCAGCCTTCCATCCTTCCAACATTGGCAAAATGAGGACTCAGATTGCTGAGGGCAATATGCAAATAATGCTGACTCTGTAAACCACCCAGAGACTGTAGTAAAGCTCTATGGGATGGTATATAAGTCTAAGTGCTATTGTTATTACTGTAAACAAATATTTACTACCAAGCCAGCCTCACATATTCTCAGGTTTGATGACCTAGAATGGAAGTCTTGCCAGCTCAGCTTAAATACAAGCGAACAACCTTACCATGAGTTCAAGAGGGAAGATAGTTAGTAAAATCCACATGTAAATGGAACAATGGACTTCCTAAATTACAATTAAAATTTTACTATCAAGAATAGGACAGTACAGATTGTAATGAGAGGAAGGGAGAGGAGAGAATCCAAACTCTCTCAAATCATTTTGACTGAACAGAATTATAACTGACCATGAAAAACATCCTGAACCTCATGTACTTGGTTCAGTTCCCTTGTAATTTGCATTGTATAATTTTATGTTCACACATAAAAGCAATGAAATACATCAACTACTGAGCTTGAGAAAGTAGAAAAACCCGCAGAAGTTTGCCTAAAAGATTTAATATTCTTACTTGATGGCAAGGACATTATTCTTTTTTAAAAAATGAACTTTGTGCTAAATATTACAGTGATGTGTTGAGTACCCTTTCACAAAGTCATCAAAGCCTTAGGATTCATGTTGTGTTTGAAGTATGCTACATCATATCAGTAATGAACCAAGTAATAATAGGCACATAATACAAGAGTATCATTAAGCTAATAGAAGATAAAGTTGTAGCAAAGACTTTAACGAGAGGCCACTTAATGTAACAAAGTGTATAGTCTGGAGAATAGGAACAGAAAGAACAGGAAAAATGAAAAGAAATCTTAATAGTTCCATATGGGGATTGGTTTGTTTTGATACCTTTGAGCCAATTTTGACTCCTGTTGTTATCTAAAAAAGTCCCTGCAGTTTTCTTTGCAATATTTTCAGAAGTAGTTTGCTCTTGCCTTTTTCCTGGGTCTGGGACAGAGAAACTGGTCCAAGGCCATGCAGCTGCCTAAGTCAGGACTAACACTCCTGGTTTTCATGTTTCTAGCCTGGTGCCTTTAATTATTACTCCAAACTGGCTCTCATATGAAAATATGATCAGTTTTGTATAGGTGTGGCTTAATAAAAATATGCCATGGAACTGAGTCTTCAACCTTTCTCCAATGCTTATTTCTAACTTGGTACATAGTACTTTGATTTGTTCTTCAGTGTTGTATGAGAGTTGTTGTTGATGTTTTTCATCATTTTAGAGTTTTAGTTATCCCAAAGTTTATTATATAAACATGCTTATATAATTCATGAAGAGTACAGCAATCATTCCGTTTTAAAGGGCCAAGTATTTGGAAGGAAGAGGGCTGTCTTGTAATGATTGTTTATGATTCTTGGTTAGATAATGGACAAATAATCTTTGAATGCTTCAAAGATGCAGAAGCAAGACAAACATCAGGCTTTTTCTATGTACGATCTACAGTTTAGGCACATTTTGTTGTACCTGTTTCACTGATGCTTTTCAAAATATGCCAATTCCTTGTGGATCAATGCTACCCAACAGAACTCCCCTTGAATTATAATTAGGCAAAGGTATTAACCTTCGTCCCAGACTATTGCACAAGTTCTGAGTTTTGTTCTCTTTTACACGATTTCCTTTCTATAAGCAACATGTGTTGCTTATAGAAATCACATCTATTTATTGTAAACATGTCATGGGAATTGAAAGAATATTCTCAAATTAAAATGTACAAACGATCACTTCCATAGTTGGATTTTATAATATGAAGGTTAAATAAGGATATTTTCATAAAAATCTAAAGTCTCCTTATTTTTTAGTATTTGGTATACATTACCTTTTAGTACTAGACCAAGCTTCAATTTCGTTATGTCATTTTTGTTGCTCTGAATTGGGCTAAATGAAAAGATCCAGAACCAAGGAACAAATGTTTAATGTTACCGAATTCTTAAAGACTTTTGGAGTGATGAGTGATAAGTGGTGAGTGGTGATAACTTTTGATTCCAGCTGCCACGCTTGTTGCTCTGGTTTTGCTCAGTCCTGCTCAGTTTTATATTCCTGCATGCATTTCTTTAAAAAAAATGAATTAGAATTTTAAAATACTGCAACTTTGACAATTTGATTGCAATCATCAACATTATTACACTCTCAGCTAAACAGCTACCTTTTCCTTTTCTCTGTTCAGACCAGAAGAACATTTTCCAGTACATAAACACTAGCAGGAACGTCTTGCAAATAATAATTCTTTTGTTTTAAATCAACATTTATTCTTGCTATGCATAAGGCAACGCAGGTCCTCAGGAGGTGAAGGAGATGCACAATGAAGTCATCTACTACCTAGCAAATTATATCTAAACCATTCCTCTATAAGGACTCTTCCAAAATACAGTACATTAATTTGTCTTAATTGACCCCTGGAATCTGGTTATGTTGCAAATAAGAGCTTTCATTTGTCAAATACAGGAATATTAATGTGATTATATTAAGATAAGAGGTTTCAAGTAGTGCTAAAAGTCTGAGCTTTTTGAAATGATGATTCCATTTTTTCACCCTTTAAAATGTCTGAACCCTCACAATCCCTGCTGTACTAGAAGCATACAGGAGAGGAACGCAATGAAGAAAGTTTGAGCAGTCAGGGACAGGATTATGAACATCTGAGTACAGGTAGTCCTTGACTTATGACCGCAATTGAGCCCAGAATTTATGTTGCTAAGTGAGAATTTTGCCACATTTTATGACCTTTCCTGCCACACTTATTAAGTGAATCACCGCAATTGTTAAATTAGTAACACCGTAGTTAAGTGAACCCGGCTTCCCCATTGACTTTGCTTGTTGAAAGGTCACAAAAGGTGATCACAGGACCCTGGAACACTGCAACCGTCATAAATATGAGTCTGTTGCCAAGCATCTGAATTTTAATCACATGACCACGAGGATGCTGCAATGATCATAAGTGTGAACAATTGTCATAAGTTGTTTTTTTTCAGTGCTGTTGTAACTTCTAAATGGTCACTAAACGAATTGTTGTAAGCCAATGACTACCTGTACATCCTATCACAATCTGATCACTTTATGGAGGGAACAGTGCACTATAGGATTCTTTGTAATGGAACCTTTGAACGGAAGTTAATTTGTGCAGCAACTGGGAAAAATTGATTCTGTTGAGAGGAGGAACACGACATCAGGAGAATAATCCAAATGCAGTGAAAGCTCGCTGGGATTTTTGAGCACACCTAATGTTTGGAAACTGAAAGTTGAAAAATTTGACACGCCCTAGCTATGGCATCATACACGGTTTCACCTGCCACACAATTAGCTAAGCAAACAGTCCAGTAACACTCTTCTTGGTCAGGCAGGCCACCCTCATCCTCAAAGAAGAGTATAATTTCCCACTCGCATCCAGAAAAGAACACATTGGTCTTTTGGATAAAACTATAACAAACTTTGTGACATTCTTATAGATTGTGCTTCTCTTTCCCTTCAGGAAACTGCATTGCACGAGAAATTACATCCATATGAATCTCTTTGCTTCGTTTATCCTCCGAGCTGCAGGAGTTCTAATAAAAGACAGCATAACACGCAGTACTTACAAGTTTCTTTCTTCAGAGTCAGAAAGGCCAGCTGATGAAAGTGGATGGATTTCTTCCTTGAGTCCAGAGGTATTGCAGCAGGCACTCTCAGTGTTCATATTAAGTGACCGAAGCAGCAAGAATGATGTCTGTTGTTGCCCACGTCCATTTTTAAATTCAGGAACAATAACAGTTGCAGGGTTATATTTTCTGGCTACATTCATTCGTAGCATTTATATAATGCTCATCCCTTGTTTACCGCCTGAAATCTAGTGGCTAATTTTAAGCAACAATAATTGATGTATAAAGGCAAGGTCAGGTAGCAGATTAAAATTGTTTTTGTCAGTACACATTGTTTATAGACTACTATTCTGTGAACCCTCAGAAAAACTAGCAACAGCAATAGCACTTAGACTTCTATACCACTTTACAGTGCTTTTACAGTCCTCTCTAAGAGGTTTTACGGAGTCAGCATATAGTCCCCACCAATCTGGGTTCTCATTTTACTGACCTCAGAAGGATGCAAGGCGGAATCAACCTTGAGCTGGTGAGAATTGAAGTGCTGGCTGTTGGCAGAATTAGCCTGCAATACAGCATTCTAACCACTGCGGCACCACAACACGATAAATTAAAACATGATATCCCCAAATGAGACAATTTAAAAGAAGGGAGAAGGAAAGAGGAACAAAATTCAAACACTAAACTTCTGAATGAGTTTTCAACCTGCTTAGTATTAGTAATTCTTTTCCCTATGGACTTGAAATGTAATGACTGACAAATTGTTTCCAGACAAGTAGCATGTATTCTTGCAGCCAATAAACTCAAGGGCAAAATAAATTAATCCCTCCTGTGATTCTGCACAGTGTTATTAATTCTTCTTTTTGTCTCATTTTTGCAGAAACTAGCCTTATGCAAGATGGGTCCTCTTTTCATGCAATATGTTGTTGGAGCAAATTCTTACTGGCTTTTAGTAGAAGGAATTTACCTCTACAGGTTATTAGTAGCTACTGTGCTGTTTGAGAAACATCAGCTGCTGAGATACATCTTCATTGGATGGGGTAAGCTTGGAATTTTCCAAGAAGATGATAGAGTGATAGGTTTACATCTTTCAGTCAGTTTCATGATTGGTTCAGCTATTCAGCTGGGATGAGACAAAACTAATCTTTGGTTTATTACCTGTTTGTTATCCTGTTGAAAATATTCCAGTCAGCATAGGAAGCTAAACTTGCTCTTGATTTTTACTTCAAATTATTAGGTAAATGCAAGTCTTGAAGTTTGCTGCTGCCATTATTTGCTTGGAGACTTTCAAAGCACATGCAAACCATAAGGCAAATATCTATGAACATATTTGTTGAGTGGAGTAAAAAGGGGTTTTTACAAGGAACAAACTCTAAGGAAAACAAAATTGTTGAGGCCAGTAGTCTTTCCTTTATTTACATAACTAGTAATAATACTTATGTATCAGGTATCCTTGTTATATTGATTTAATAATATATTAAACTGTGAAGTTGGGGGAAAAAATAGAAGAGGGCAATAGTAAACCAACCAAACTAGAAGAACTGCTTTTTAACTCAAAAGACTTGATATCCTCAGAAATCATATTAGGTCTTGTCATACAAGAATACCTCTTGTTTTTCTTTTCAGGTTTTCCAATTTTGTTTGTAGCTCCTTGGGGAATACTAAAATACCAACTGGAGCATAATGTGTAAGTTACTTTCTTAAATGTTCCCTTAATCGGTTTCATTGTTTCTTTTCTTGCCTTTTTTTGTGCCAATAGAAAAAGAGCCTTTTGTTTATTTTCCCACAATGTTTAGACTAAAGATTAGCAACCATTTGTTATTGCGGCTGCATTGCTAGGCAATACGAAAAAAGTTTGCAGCCTCCTAAACACATTCTTGATTAAGGGAATAATTGTAACTTTTAAAAATATACCAACTAGAAAGGTTAGAATGCAGCAAAAATCACTTCTATGGCCTACTCCAGATTGAAAGAGGAGCAGGAAAAAAAGGACAGAAAACAAGAAACGGCAAGAAAGGACAGAGATTTTTATCATGTTAAAACAGAAATCAGTTTGCAAAGATGTATACAGCACTGACACAAAGATATCTTAGGCTGTGAATAGCCCTAAACAAATGGTAAGATTAGAGTCAATGCATGTCTATCCAGCCTAACAGCAGACTATTCTTCACTCAGTCCATTGGCAATCTCCATTCCCATTATAAATAAGAAATTGTGTTATAGTCTGCTACAGCCAAAACCATCAGAGATTTTTTTTAAAAAGTCTAAAAAACAGGAGGGAAGAATTTGGGATTTATATAATAACAGAATGACCGAGTTGGAGGGGATCTTGGAGGTCTTCTAGTCCAACCTCCTGCTCAGGTAGGAAACCTTATACCATTTCATACAAATGATTGTCCAATCTCTTTTTGAAAACTTCCAGTGGATTATTTGTTAGAAACCAAGAAAGGTTAGTGTTGAGTTAATCCAATTCTTCCTTCCAAAATCCCTGTAGTTGCATATCAAGTTTAATTTTAATTTCTAAAGTGTTGCAGAACTGAGAACAAATTTTGACACTAAAGTGTGCCAAAGATATACCTTATTTATATTATCATCCTTGTAAAGTCTAGTGGTATAAAAATCTAGATGGTACTTTTTATACTATGCCACAAACAATTCTCATGAAATGAAGATCAGTCCATTTCTGGGTTTTGAATATTTTGAAGAACTCCTGATTCCTCCTCTTCTTGCTATTGATCCTCTGGTCAATAACACTATATTCCTTTCCACCAGAAGAGGGATGGATGGCTATCACATTCTGAATCAGGTGTCAGAGATTCAGAATAATTTCTAACTTATATGATTCTAGGTCCATCCCTCTACAATGAATAAATGAGTTCAATTTCAGAAGTTCTGAAGGAATCTCAAGAGGAAGTCTCGAGTGCTAAATTTCTTTTTTTGTGGTGGCCATTGGGGGAAAAGTGTAATCCATCTTTTCAATGGATTATTTTCCCAGAGAACAAAACATAAGGTCTTAGGGATGAGAGATCCTGCATATAACAGCAGTTCTGCTGATCTTCCTTGAAGCTTTTAAAACTTTTCATATGAGTTTTGATACAATTCTATAATTCACCAAGATGAATTATAAAGTTTTTTTAAAAAAATAATAACAAATGTGGTTTATCGTTTGTTATTACATGACATAATAAAATGTTATTTGTTTTCTAGATGCTGGTCAACAAATGAGAACATGATAGTCTGGTGGATCATTCGAGGACCCATATTATTTTCCATTGTTGTAAGGATCACTGAAAAATTGCTTACTATTATATTGTGCAGAGAATCCAATATAATATTGCTTTTATTTCCCTATACTTGAGTAGATAAGCAAAGACAAAAGAGGCACCTTAAATAATTTACAAAATTCAAGGAGATGTAATGACAGGAGAAGGAAAAAGATGATGGGGACCTGTAATCAATCCAGTTGGGACCCCTGGATTGGGAAACTCTTTACTGTACACTGATTAATACTCAAATCATTGAGGTTCAGCAAGAGCTTTCAAACTTGAGTTAGAGTCCAACATCTATAAACAACTTGTTTGCAAATCATAAGTAACATCAGGTCATCAGTTTACATACCAACCCTCCATTTACATAGAGTTGCCTTTCCAATGTAAGAAAGACATGAAGAATTCCTATTGTTCTGCTATCAGGTTTCAGGTAGCAAATATGTAGTTCAAAAGTCTGTAGATATTTGCAAATATTATATCTTGTATCAATGTTAAGTTGTAATTACTCCTTAACAGGAGTGCAGAGTTGCCAAGCAGCAACTTAGCAGGAAGGATCTGTGTCCAATAACTAGCATCATTCTAAATTAGTAAGAAAAGTCAAACATGTTTATTTATTGTTTTTGTGGCAATACGACATTTGAAAAATTCTTTATTTTCAAGGATATTTTGTATATATTTTTCTTCTGTAGCAGCCATTTAATCACTAGTACTAAATCTCAGCATTTTTCTCTTATTTTTGATTCACTATTACACCTTTCCTTTCCCAATCTCCAATCAGTAAGCTTTGAGCTTTCAAAATAACAAGCAGGACAGAGAAACAACATTGTATAGGAAATACTTGAAAGCCGAGACTCAATACAGTACATTAAAATTATTGAAAACAGTCTGCAGTTGTCTTGCCCTTGTGAAATCCCTGTTGGAAATAATTTTGCAGACAAACAAAATTTTATCGTATTTGGAAAAACCAACTGTGATGTTTGATGTGTGTTTTCTAAGGTTAATTTCTGCATCTTCCTGAACATTCTGAAACTGTTACTTTCCAAACTTAAAGCTCAGCAGATGACCTTTCGTGACTATAAGTTCAGGTAGATATTACTTTCTTATAATTTTCTGCACCATTTTTTTAAAAAAAATACTGGATTTGATTCACAGCCATATGGGAGTCTATATATTTGGCCAATATTGTAATACATATTTGTTTGACATTTCACTCACCTGATAATGTAAATGAAAATCTGCAAAGATTTATATCAATGTTTCTCAGTTTTAGCAACTTTTAGATCTGTAGCCTTCAACTCCCAGAATTCCCCAGCTATTTATTTATTTATTTATTTATTTATTTATTTATTTACTCGCATTTCTATGCCGCCCAATTCCCAAGGGATTTACACATCTTAAAGTTGTCAAGATTAAGAAACATTGATTTACTTTGCTAAATGCGTTTGTTATTAAAGGTCAAGAAGAATCTTTGCTTTTTTCTTTAAGAAGAATGTGTTGCTTTTAAAGAAATTGAAATTGCAACAAAATGGATACTAATTTTAAAGTGAAAAGTGGGACAATATGCTGTACCAATCATGTTTTATTTTGATTAGCAGGTTAGACAACTTTGCACAGAATGTAAGATGCAACAAACTAACAAACCCACAATTCCAAAATGTACACCTGGTAAATATATATCAGGAAGAAGGTTAAAGTAGAAATCATAAAGTAGAAGGATTAAGGAATAACTCTAAGAAAAAAGTAGAACTATTCTAACCTTGGGGTATGTCACTAAAACTATACCTACTGAATATCATCAGGGCAGAAACAAGAGAACCATATCCACTCTTTCTGGTTTATTTAGTATTTTAAAACAGAAACAAATGAAATATACTTACTCCCAGGCCCTTTGTCTTCTCCTTCAACCCTCACTAGGTTCCTTTGGAGAGCTTTATAAACTTAGATTTTTCCCAATTTCACAAAGTTTGGGGATGCAATGTCAGATTCCTTCTCCAAGACCAAGGAAGGCCCTGTCTGTGACCTTGAAAGGGAGAAACAATTGGTTCTAAAGTTACTCAGACATTGTTCCAAGAATCACAGGGCTGCAGTCTTATTATGGAATTATCACTAATGTTAATCCCAATCTAATATTAATCCCAAATCAATGCCTCAAGGAATTGACTGTCATAATTCCATTATGTGTTTCTTGTTGAGTTTTATTTCAAGAATTTAATTCATGTTGGTGATTGTTTTTCTTTTAAGGTTGGCAAGGTCAACTCTTGTGTTAATACCTTTACTTGGAATTCATGAGATTATTTTTAGTTTCATTTTGGATGATCATGTTGAAGGATTCTCCAGGAATGTCAAAACCTTCATCCAGCTAACCATTGGCTCTTTCCATGTAAGTTTGGGATGGTGATGGAAATGAGTTAAACAAATTTAATACCACCTTTACAGAATGCAGATGAGAAAAATAATAATCAAAAACCATTATCACAGCTCATTAATAAATGATGCATAATAAAAGAATCTTTAAAATATATTTTAATACATTTTTAAAATAGGATTTGATACAAACATTAAACTTCTACCACTTAATAAACAATATCTAGCATAATCTTAAAAATACCAACATCTCATTAAAGAAGGGTGTCCTTCTGGATTCACGGTTGTCTCTGAAAGATCATGTAGCGACCGTGACCAGGGGGGCATTTGCCCAGGTCCGCCTTGTGCGCCAGCTGTGCCCTTACTTGGACCAAGATGCCCTATGCACCGTTACTCATGCGCTGGTCACCTCCCGTCTTGACTACTGCAAGGCTCTCTACCTAGGGCTGCCCTTGAAAACCACTCGAAGGCTTCAACTGCTGCAGAATGTGGCCGTGCGGGTTGTGATGGGAGTGTCCCAACACTCCCATGTTACACCCCTCCTGCGTTACCTGCATTGGCTACCGGTTGCCCTTTGGGTGAGGTTCAAGGTACTGGTTATCACCTATAAAGCCCTTCATGGCCTAGGCCCGGGATATTTGTCGGACCCCCTGCAGCCAGCAACAATCTCCAATCGCCCGGTGCGTTCCCATAGACAGGGCCTCCTCAGGGTGCCGTCGGCCAGACAATGTCGGCTGGCGACCCCCAGGGGGAGAGCTTTCTCTGTGGGCGCACCAACCCTTTGGAACCAACTTCCTTTGGAGCTCCGGATGGCCCCTGACCTTCGCTCTGCCGTGATTTGAAGACCTGGTTGTTTCGCAGCCTGGACTTATCGGGGGATTTTCTTAATAGATTTTAAATTGATTTTAAATTGTTTTAATTTGGACTTTTAATTTTATATTGTTTTAATGTGCAATTGTGCATTTTATTCATGTGAGCAGCCCTGAGTCCATTGGAGATAGGGCGGCATATAAATCACATTAAACTAAACTAAACTAAACTAAATTATTTGTCTAGAATTCTTTCCAAACCTAATATGATTTTTCACTATTGTCATTTCAATTATTTGTTAGAGTCTTTTGAAACAATCTTCAAGTACAGTAGTGACTGCCAAATTCAAATTTTCTACATTTCCTCATAAGTCAGAAGAACAGATCTGGCTAATATATATAATGATAATTCTTAATTAGCAATGCCTTCAATAAACGGAATCTTTGTTACTTAGCAGACAAAAAAGCAACAACAAAAAGCAAACCTAGTTTGTCATTGCTACCAAAAAAGAATAAAAAACTCAACAAATTCAGTATCTTCCTTAACCTATATTTATATAACAATATTAGATTTATATCAGTCCAATATGGGTAGTTCTGAAAAGATAATTTTAAAACGTGCATAATAAGTGCGGAAGCAGATGAACTGATCTTTTGGAAAACTTTTTAAATTTAATGATCACCTTTCAAGATTCCACAACCACATTCTAGAATCTAGAGAGATGTAATTCTACAGGCATAAATGTAATGTGCCCTAAACTTTAAATTACAAGTTTTCCTGCACAGTATAAGGTAAAAAAAAGTCTGATTAGGGAGAAATGATATCTTTTATTGTAACCAATCATTGTGGTTTAAAATAGCAAGCCAGACATTTCCTCCAGCAAAATGTAAAATTAAGCAGATTACTCAGGAAGGATACAGGTTGAAATCTTTATGATTGTTAAGAGGCAAAAATGATTCTTGAGCAAGAGGAAAATAGTTGCATTTATGTTCAATTTGCCAGCATGATGGCTCATATTTCAGGTAGTTTTTTTGTAAAAGTATTCTCTGATTATATAAAGTCAAATTGTACTTTGGCATATGTTCCTCAAATCTAATTTACTTTCTCTTTCTCTTCCAGGGTTTTCTCGTAGCACTTTTATATTGCTTTTATAATGGCGAGGTACATCATCTTTTTCATTTCTCATTGTTCAGCCCTGCATCCCAACCCCAGCTGCTCAGAACACACTGGCTTATGGTTCTTTATGATCATTCAGTTATGGAAAAATTGATTAAAGAATTATTAATTTTTCCATCATATTACTTGTAATAGTTGAAAAGACCCGGCTTGACCCAGCAAGTTGGCCACCTCTCTGAGAACAGATGAACTTGTGAGAATCATGCACAGTCTGTCATGCTACGGAATAAGCCAATAGCCTTCCTGGGAGGGCCTCTTTTATGGAGAGAGGTTTTGGGCTGCCCATTTCTTTAGTAGAGAAAAGCGGATGTAATCCAAGTTGACAGAGCAGATTCAAGAATTTCCCTCCTTCTGTTTTTCAGTGATTTTTCATGCCCCTTTGCAAAATGGTGTAAAATGGGTTGTAGTGATATTGGGAGTATTGGGAGAAAATGCATTCCCATTCCCATTCCCATTTCCACATTAACTGGTTAGATGCCTTTCACTTGTCATGCTGAATTGCTGAGGCAAAATAAAAATATGATTAACAGATGAATTCAGATGAATATGGGATTGTTTAATCTGATGGATGTACGTATATTTGAATGTAGAGAGACAGAAATCAGTCACTCGGTAATTACCAATAGCCCTGCTATATAATAGCTATATTGTGTTAGCAATAGCAATAGCATTAAGATTTATATCTAAATGCTTCACGGTTCTTTACAGCCCCCTCTCAGTGGTTTACAGAGTCAGCATATTGCCTCCAGCAATCTGGGTCCTCATTTTATGGAAGGATTGAAGGCTGAGTTAACTTTGAGTTTGTCAGGATCAAACTGCTGGCAGTCGGCAGAATTAGCCTGCAATACTGCATTCTAATCACTGAGCCACAGCTCTTATTTAGAAGATTCTCAGTTGGAAAAGACTGCTATAATCCTAACTGTCAACTTTTTCCCCTTTTTCCCCAGGTAAAGGCTGAATTACGCAAGCAATGGTCTCGTTTCTTGCTAGCATACCCCTTTGTCTATATGCCCTGCTTTCTTGGAAAGAACATCAAGCACCTAAGGAACTGTCCAAACAAACAGCATTTGAGCAATAACGATCCTGCCCTTGAGGTAATGCAGCCTCCCAAGAAGCAAGCGGCCAAGGTGAGAACATGCTGCAATGTGGAACGAGGCCCCACAACAAGACACAACCTCAGAGCAAGCGTTTTTGACAGCAGCGAAGAAGAAATTGCCAATGGAGAGACCATTGAAGAGGCTCTGGAGGAAAATGAGGGTTAGAACTTTAAGAGAAAAACGAATTTGTTGGGATCTATCTTTTGCATGGAAGCAACTGGAATTAAAGATCCTATGGAAAGAGCAAAATGAAAGCAGCTTTGGTACATTCCCCCTCCCCATCCATTCTTCATTTTGTCAGTAAAACAAATATTGGCATATGCCAGGAGCCATAACAGGTCGTTTTTCTTAGTTCTCAGGAACTGGATCTGGTATCAACACTACATGGGATAAAGAGATCACACACACACGGTGAGACAGCCTGCTGCTCCTTCTGAAACTTCCAGTATTAGGTCCACCAGAGTCTGACTGCTACTCTGACTGAACCAGGGATTTGATCCCAGGAGGCTGCACTTCAGGACTACAAAGGCTTTATGATACCATTGAAATGACTAACTAAATGCACCAAGTGAATAAAGGAACTGGTCTGAGAGTCAGTTTGCTCCCCATACATTTAGATGCTTGCACATATACATCTGAAAGTGTATTTTTCAGCCTTTGCTAAAATAATAGTTAAATCAGAGCTACCATGTTTTAGGACACAGTTATTAATGCTTTGTCTTTCAATATACTTTGCAAGTCCTAATTTCTGTTATCCTTTCAATATATCTATAAAGCAAATCACTATGACCTCCATTACACAATTAGAAAATTAATTTGACTTAATCCAGAGCAGAAAAATCCGAGAAGTTTGAAACAGCTGGATGAAATGAGGAGAGATGGGGAGTTGAGAGACTGCTGTATGAACACATCTTATTTCTCAAATAGCCAGACAAGCTGAAATACAACTTAAAAACGCAAGATGAATCAAGGGAGTTGGCAAGCAGTTGGAAAGGATTCATTTAGGAATGTGTATTTGTTCTGTTTTTGTTTTAAAGGAAGAATGGCATTTCTTTCTTCTTATCTCTTTCATCTCTGTCTATGTTTCTTCTCCACATTGCCCTCAACTGTATTTCTTTCCAGAAGAGAGAGAATAGAGGAACTCCAAGCTCCAAACTAGCCAGAATCATCTGCATTCTGTCCCTGGATTCATGAGAAATGCTAGGTTTCTTCCTCCACCATCCTGGGTTTTGGGTTACCTTCCATTCCTGTTTTTATTTTACTGCATAAATTGGCCAGTAGCTGGGTGTTGCAGTGTTTTCTCTTCTTGCCAGTTGATGCCTTTTGCCCTTGCTCCTAGGGAAGTTCAAAGACGTCCTACTTATACTCATTCTCCTAATGTAAAGGAGTTGGCTTTGTGTTATGGATTGGCTTTGTGTTATGGGTAGTTGGTGATTGGAGGCTGGAAAAATGTGCAGAGACTTAAATACACAAGCAACTGAAAGCTAAGTGGAGCAAATACCAACCATACCAACTTCAGAAGGTCCAATAGTCAATAGACAGCCTGCAGCTGTAATAACATTTTTCCCTTTGCAGCCTTTGCTTTAATGGCAGCACCAAGGAATCCAAAGTTAGTATTTCATTACCAATAGGAAAAGGAGTATAATGAAATGAAAAAAAATATTTACTCCTAATTAATAGAAAGCTGCTGTTTCTAATACAGAATAGAAAGAGGAAACAGTAGTATAATTAGTAGATATATCTTGATTCAAGGGGCAAAAAAAGAGATGATTTAAAAATATCAGAATCTGGAAAGAAACCTAAGCATGGTAAATGTTCTAGACCAGTGGTTCTCAACCTTCCTAATGCTGCGACCCTTTAATACAGTTCCTCATGTTGTGGTGACCCCGAACCTTAAAATTATTCCTAAAACCATTGAAAATATGTGTTTTCCGATGGTCTTAGGCGACCCCAGTGAAAAGGTCATTCGACCCCCAAAGGGGTCACGACCGACACACACAACAGTTGAGAACCACTGTTCTAGACACACTGGATTTAAATGGAGCGAACAGGACATGAAAAAAGAGAAATAGATAAGAAAAGAACAGACGCTAAAATGACTTTTGAATAAATTAGTAGCCTGTAGAAGGGGTGGGTGAGGAAGATAGATGAATTCTGACTGAGCACAATCTGCTTACTATGACATCCATGAGTATATAAGACCAAGAACTCTTGATAGACATTGGCTAGGTACACTCTTGGGCTCAACTATAATGTATGATTTATGATTGAATCTCCTATGGCTTAGTATTAAGTATGATCTGAATGGCTGTGTCTTATTCAAAATCCAGTGGGATGTATGTACCTTGCAAATGAGTTATAGATCAGATAAAAGCAGTTTTCAAGAAGTCTGTCTACTTTCACTTGCAAACATTGTAGCTGGTTGTGGGATTCTACAAGTGGTGGGTTTCAAATTTTTTTACTACTGGTTCTGTGGGTGTGGCTTGGTGGGCGTGGCAGGGGAAGGATCCTGTAAAATTTCCATTCCCACCCCACTCCAGGGGAAGGTTACTGCAAAATCCCCATTTCCTCCCAATCAGCTGGGATTCAGGAGGCAGAGAATAGATGGGGGCGGGACCAGTCAGAGGTGGTATTTACCGGTTCTCCAAACTACTCAAAATTTCCGCTACCGGTTCTCCAGAACTGTTCAGAACCTTCTGAAACCCACCTCTGGATTCTACATAGAATGCTACAAAGGTTTTGGGGTTTGTTTCAGGGCAGGGAGGACCTGTTTGTTTCTCTCTCTCTTTTTTAGCTTTAATTGCTTTGCACCAATTTTCCTTCTGTCACAGATCTTGCAGTTATTTTCCCCCTCATCTCTTGGCACCAAGTATTAGTAAAGGAAAACATTATGTCATTGTCACAGGAGATGAACCCCAAATGGCCACCTGAATTGCAAACACTGGGCGTGTTCCCAAGAAACTTCATTCAAACCCTACTGAAATTAATGGGACTTATTTCTGCGCAACTCCATTTACAAGCATGTGCCCCACATGCTAAAAACATCGACTCCTCTGAGGCAAGCTTGCACACTCTGGGATTCATCTCCCTGCTGAAATGCTGAAGCAATGTTTATTCAAGGGAAGTTGGCAAAAATCCCACTCATCCCTGTTCTATATCATTATTCTGATCAGAAGACTCCCCAGTTAATAAGCAAATCTCTCCTTCTGGTCAAGGAAGAATGAGTGGTTTGTACACAAAGTCCTTTAGCAAGGTTTCTGATGGTGTTCTCTAAATAGGCAGGTAGTCAGAGCATCACCCATCAGACTTTTACTTGTCTATATGTGTATGAAGGACGGGAGGGTTTTTAATGATCACCTCAGAGATGCAGAATAGGTAACGATGCCATTGCTTTAGATTGACTTTGTTTGAGGATCTGCTGAAAATTATTTGTTTGATAAAATACGTCAAAGCAAAATTGTTCTTAAACATGATGGACACTGAATTTTGTGTTGCACATTGACCGCACATCAGTCTACAGATACTAGCATGCCCAGATGTCTTTTAATCTTTCATAGGAGAGAAAGTAAGGAGTAGGATTTATATTTTTGAAGTCATCGTCTGATTTTGTTTTCCTTTGAAGTGAAAGCAAACAGATTTCCACTCAAGCCCAAATGCAAAAATTGACAGAGTCAAACATCTGTGGGGATCTGCACACTGTCAGAATCTACTCACGATCCTCTGTCTCCAACATCACTGTCTGCCAATAATATTACTACTTGCCATTCCAGTAAGTAGACTGAAAATCAGATAAGAAATGCAGCAGATGTTTGAAGAAGCAGTTCAAAATATTCAAAGGATCAAATTCTGCCTTCTAGTCTGTGGTGGTTGTTGTTGTTGGGTTTTTTTTGAATTCTCAATTTATCAGCTATTTTTCTCTCTAGGGGATAGTCCTGTTTTTTTCCAGGAAATGCAATCTATTAAGGACCCATTTAGTAACTTTTCCAAGTTGTTACAAAAACTATCAGAAAAATTATCTGCTGAGATCTCTGACTGCAGTAGTTTGTAGCTTCCGGCTTCTGTTGCCTCTGGAAAATATGTTTGCAAGTATATTTCTTCTCTCTTTCCCCACCCCCATCTCTCTCTCTCTCTCTTCCTCTCTCCCTCCCTCCCTCCCCTCCCTCTCTCTGTATGTGTGAGATATGTACCTAAATCTGGAAAGGCATGCGGATATGTCTTGCATTCTATATTCTATACAGAGGGTATGTTTCTAAGAAAGACGCAGGTAGAAGGAATTGAACTTCTTTTACATTCAAAATCCATGAAAATTTTGGGGTGGACATTGTAGATAATTCTTATCTCTGAAATGATAGAACCAGTCCTGGCCAGTATTGCCAGCTGATATTACAATTTTTATAAAATCCAGTATGATTATAGTACAATTAGAGTAGGTAGAAGCATTCAACATAACCACAATGATAACATCTGTGCTGTAATGTCATCACACCAGCTGCACCTTTTTGTACTTGTGCAGCAGTCCGTAAACAGTGAGGTTTGTGTTGCAATAGATGTTTCATTCCTTGGTGAATGGGCAACATTTTCTGTCGAAGCTGTGACTCAAACTTAGAACTGGTTGAATGGCTGCAAGAGGCCTTCCCGTTACACAGTGACCTTTCCAGGGGTGGGATTGTGGATGGCAATTGGCCTGTTTGGGGAGATAGGGGAGTCAGTCTAGGTGCATTAGAGTGATTTAAAGACTCCAATTTTATTTTCATAGTTTGGGGCTGAAAAAGATGTTGCTACAATACAATCTAGCCATTTTGCCACCAAATTTCAACTCTCAGTATACCTTGCTTTGTGGACTGTTTGTGGACTGTGGGTGGTGGTCAGTGGGGGGTGTGTGGCTACTGGTTCAGTTCAGATCTTGCGAACCGGTAGTAATGGCAGCGGGAAGCTCCACCCACCTGCCCAGACGTCATCACAGATGCGCTGCACATGCACACAAGCTTCTGCGCATGCACGCACTCCAGGGTGGGTTTCAAAATTTTTTACTACTGGTTCTGTAGGTGTGGCTTGGTGGGCGTGGCAGAGGAAGGATACTGTAAAATCTCCATTCCCTCCCCACTCTGGGGGAAGGATACTGCAAAATCCCCATTTCCTCCCAATCAGCTGGGACTTGGGAGGCAGAGAATATATGGGGGCAGGGCCAGTCAGAATTTTTACTACCGGTTCTCCAAACTACTCAAAATTTCTGCTACCAGTTCTCCAGAACTGTTCAGAATCTGCTGAAACCCACCTCTGGTGCACTCCCATTGCGAACCGGTAGCAAAGGTAAATGGAACCCACCCCTGGCGGTGGTTGACCACTCCTTCACCTACTAATTTTATTTTAAAACTAAACTAATTTAAATGTAATTAAAAATGTCCATGCATATAAAAATAAAGGAAAAAAGTCCAGAAAGAAACTCACCCTGCTGTGTTATTATAGGTGCAGCATATATTTGTTACTTTATGTCCGTGCGTTTACTGGGGACCAATGTAAGGAACATCGATGCAACTAATAATTGGCTGAAATTTATTTCCTGAATAAGATCTTAATGCTACTTATTGATAGAAAGACTATACAGTGTTATACAATTTTAGGCTATAACTTCCACAGTCTCTTGTCATTGGTCTACTGGTTGGGATTAATGGCTGTTGAAGTCCAAAACTTAACAGTTAGAAGAGACCATTAGACCCTCTGCTCAGTTTTCAGGGATCCAAATTAAAGCATGCCCCAAAGATGCTGATCAAGTTTCCATTTGAAAATCTCCACAGCATGGAATCCCACCACCCACAGTAATGGAATCCCGCAGTATTTTGAACTGCTCTTACAAGCTCAATTTATTTATTCAATCTGAATTTGGCTTTCTGTAAAAGGACACCCATTATTCTTTGCCCTGTGTTCTAGAACGAGTGACAGCAAGTCTTGAGATTCTTTGTTGCAACTTCTTTGAGTACTTCAAGCTCTCTTGCCCCCCTCAGTTTTTTCCCCCCTCAAGGCTAAGCATGCCCAGTTTTTCAGCCTTCATAGGATTTCATTTCCAATCCCCAGAGTAAAGAGAAGCAATTATTTCCTGTGATATGGAAACTCTATTTCTGTTCATGCTGCCTAAAATTTCACGAGCCTTCCTATAGCTCTATAATGCTATTTGAAATCAATTACTCTTTCAAGATAATTTGTCTGGTGTGAACAACCAAACCTACATGAGTAGAGTTCAAACTAACTACTTCATTGTTCTCTGCTTGTTATACAGGAACCTCTCCAGACTGGTAGCTTTTGCCCAAGAATGACCAGATAAGGTTCAAAGGCATTGGGAGGAGGTGGGGAGAATCGGACCTAGCCCTCTAGTGTTTATGTAGTGAGTCCAGGCTCAAGAGTCTTCCCATCTGGGATGATTCCCATCTGGGATGGTTGCTCTCCAATGCATTTTCTTAAATATTACAAAGAGATGTAGCTCATATTTAATATCTCCACATCTGAGTTCTATTTCCTAACTGAAGAACTTTGTAATTGTCTCTGTTAATTTTCCTTCTGTTATTCTCAACTTATTTTTCTAGTTTTCTAATTCGATTTTAAATTTTACTTCTGTCTTCAAGAGTGTATTAGTTATTCCACCCAATTTTACATAGAATGCAAATTGGATGAGCATCTTTATTCAAATTGTTAATTTAAAAAATTGAAGCATACAGAACTGAAACTTTTGGCATGTTATTTAATACCACACTACAATTCAGTGAGGAACCAATGATGATCCCTTGCTCCAAACAAACAAAGTGCTTGTTTGCAAGTGCTATAAGCAAAGACCATTTTTACATCTTTGTGACATCATTGCCACGTTAAATAGGACTACCTTGAGTAGTTTAGAGAAAGAACCACAATATTCCCATTGAAATTGTTTCAAGTGAATCAGATGGCCTTTACTATACATTTGGCACTTTAGATATTTCATTACAAGAAGTTAAACATCAACTTTAAAGGTCACCACTAAAAGTACTAAATATTGGCTTCCTTTCAGAAATACATTTTTGAGGCAAGAAAAGTAATATCTCTAGAGTCAGACAGACATGCTGTAAACAAATCAACCAACTAACCAAAAAAATCCAAATTATAGTGTATATCAAAAGAAGGTAAATTTGGTTTGCAATGTTAAGATAAACAATGTAGCTTGGAATACATCTCTTCATTGACCTATATGATTACTTTTATTTACTTAATTTCTTTATTTTTATTATAGCCAGAAAAGTCATGAGCAAATGCCACAAGAACCTGTAGGTTTGCTGTAAACATTTTCAAAGAGCTGATTTCAGGAATGTAGAAGTACCCCAGGTTTCAATTGTAAATAAAAACATTTTTTGCTATTTTGAAA